TTCCTCTTCCTTCCTAGCAGAATCATTGATTTTACGAAGGTTTTGGGCTGACGTTGTCCTTCTCAGGGGTCAGCGCTTACTAGCGCTTCTGAGGAGGTCGCAAGAAACCCCAAGATAGCCCCAAGAGGCCCCCAGGAGGCTCCCAAGAGGCCTTCAGGAGGCCCCCAAGAGGCCCCCAAGAGGCCCCTAGAGGTCCCCTCGAAGCTCCCTAGAGGCCCCCAAGAGGCCCCAAGAGGCTCCAAGAGGCCCCCAAGACGCCCCCAAGAGGCCCCCAAGAGGACCCCGAAACGCCCCAAGAGCTCCAAGAGGCCCCCAACAGGCCCAACGAGGAGCCCGAACGACTCACACCAGGACGACAGACCCCAACGACTCACACCACGAGGAGCCCGAACGAGTCACACCACAAGGAAAGGCCCGAACGCCTCGCACCAAGACGAGGCGCCCGAATGACTCACACCACGAGGAGCCCGAACGACTCACACCACGACGCGGGCCCCGAACGACTCACACCACGAGGAGCCCGAACGAGTCCCACCAGCCCTTTGGGCGTGAGTGGTTTAGCGAGCTTTCTCTGTCCTCAACCCCCCAACCCCCCTTCTTCCCCTTCGGGGAGGGGTTTACCCCTCCCCCTACCCCCTCCCCCTGGACCTGGAGAGGGGGCGCCGCGGGTGGTTGGAGGGGTCTTTTTCGACTCCTGGGAGGGCAAAAAAACGACGACCCTCACGAGGATTCTGGCCCCGAGGGGGGGGGGGGGAGGATTTGGCGCCTGAACTCGTCGTTGAAGTAAAAAACATTGATTTTACTACGGCTTTGGCCCCATTTTTGGCCTTCTGATGGGGCCGCGTTCCTCTTCCTTCTTAACATAACCATTGATTTTACAAAAGGTTTTGGGCTGATTGTGTCCTTCTCATGGGTCAGCGCTTACTAGCGCTTCTGAGGGGGTCGCAAGAAACCCCAAGATAGCCCCAAGAGGCCCCCAGGAGGCTCCCAAGAGGCCTCCAGGAGGCCCCCAAGAGGCCCCCCAGGGGCCCCTAGAGGTCCCCTCGAGGCTCCCAAGAGGCCCCCAAGAGGCCCCAAGAGGCCCCAAGAGGCCCCCAAGACGCCCCCAAGACGCCCCCAAGAGGCCCCCCAGACGCCCCAAGAGCTCCAAGAGGCCCCCAACAAGCCCAACGAGGAGCCCGCGCGACTCGCACCAGGACGACAGACCCCAACGACTCACACCACGAGGAGCCCGAACGAGTCACACCACAAGGAAGGGCCCGAACGCCTCACACCAAGACGAGGCGCCCGAACGACTCACACCACGAGGAGCCCGAACGACTCACACCACGACGCGGGCCCCGAACGACTCACACCACGAGGAGCCCGAACGAGTTACTACAGGAGGAGGGGACCGAACGACTCACACACAAGGAGGGGACTCACACCACGAGGAGCCCGAACGACGCACACACAATGAGGGGCCCGGAGGAGTTACACAAGGAAGGACGAGGGGCCCCAACGACTCATACCACGAAGAGCTGGAACGACTCACATATCTGCAACGCACACAAACGCGAACACTCGCATTATCTCTGGCGTGCCTGCATGTCGGACCGCCTTTGATTTACGCGTGCTTCTTTATTGAATACATGCGTGTATAGGTGTGGAGGGGAATCCACGGTCTGATGTCGCAATGACGATGGATCGTGCCGAGAAAATCTCGAAAGTGGCGCGTCTCTGAAACTTCTCGCGATGACCGCCGTGCCTGCGCGTCGCCGAGCGCTAACCGCCACGACGACCTGCTGACACGAACGCGAGGCGAATGGGGAAGAATATGACTCACATCAGATGCAAAAATGGAGACCTCGTAGCGGTGCTGGGCTACGTGCGGAATTTGCGCACACCAGCCACCTCGTGCCAAAAAACACAGTAGGCGCGTGCGTTCGGGCCGCAAGCCAAGTCACCATTGACGTGGTGGTCGCGGTCGTCGTCGTCGGCGCCGTCGTTGTCCTTTCGTCATCGTCGTCATCGTCATCGCCATCACATTCGAAGCCATGGGAAAGAAAGTGCCGCGCGCCGACCGCACTGTGGAAGCTCAACGTGAAGCGAGAGTGCCGGCAACCAATATTCTGCGCGCTCGCTTCCAGGAGCCCCCGTGGCAAGCAAAAGCACAACAAAGCACAGGCGCTTCTCCATGCCAACCGCAAAGATGATGCTAGTAGGCGGAGACTATTACGGGTAGGCGGAGCGAAGCTCACAGCCACACTCCAATACTAGAAGCCAGAGTGGCAACGACAACAACGCTGGTCGGGAAAGATCGCTGGTTTCGACGACGGCCGCCTCTGTCTTGCCTCCCAACTCCTTCCCTCCCGCCTCCTCTTCCGACTCCTCCTGCTTCGGACCATAGAATACACGTACAGGGAAACAGACACATGCTTGCACCAGACAACTGTCGACATGCTTCGCTGGGGTTCCTCGTCGGCGATGGCACTACCACTACTGCGTCTACATTTACTACAACGACTACTACGACTACTACGACGACTCCTACTATTACTACTCCCACTACTACTTCTACTGCTACTACGAGGTCTACTACAACTACTGCTGCTACTACTCATCGTACTACTGCTGCTCTGCCTCCTAATCCTACTACTGCTACTGCGAGCACTACTCCTTCTACCACGACACCTACATCTACTGCCACTGAAACTTGTCGTGTCGCTACTACTGCTACTACTACTACTACCACTACACGGAAGCGAGAGGAAGGAGGAACAGGGGAGCTATGCGGAGCCCAGCGGACACACGCCTGACACACACCACTGTCGGCATGCTTCACAAGAGGTGCTGCTGTGAGATGGGCTGGTGGGGGTACGCGAAGCGTAAAGAATTACATCAGCCAATTGCTTGTTGCATGGTGGTTTTGATTATGATGGGGATGCCAGTGGTGATGACGGTAGTGATGATAATGCTGATGAGGATGATGCCGAAAAAAACTGATGATGCTGATGATGCTGATGATGCTGATGATGCTAATAATGGTGACGATGATGCTGATGATGCTGATGGCGATGGCGATGATGATGATGATGATGATAATGATGATGATGATGATGATGATAATAATGATGATGATGATGATGATGGTGATGGTGATGGTGATGGTGAGGATGCTGACGATGATGATGGTGATGATGCTGATGATAATGATGATGATGATGATGATGGTGGTGATGATGATGGTGATGATGCTGACGATGGTGCTGATGGTGATGGTGACGATAATGATGAAGAGTATGATGTTGTGGATGATGCTGATGCTGCTGCTGGTGACAACGACAACGATGATGATAATCATGAGTGTGATGACGCTGATGATAATGATGATGATGACGATGCTGCTGGAGATGATGATGCTTATGGTGATGATGATGACGATGATGATGACGATGATGATGGCGATGAGTGATGATGATGGTGATGATGGTGGTGATGATGCTGATGATGGTGACAAAGAGGATGCTGATAATGATTGTGATGATGGTGATGATGCTGCTGATGATGATGATAATGTTGATGATGATTATGATGATGATGATGGTGATGGTGCCGATAATGATGAAACATATGATGTTGTGGATGATGCTGATGTTGCTGCTGCTGACGACGACAACGATGATGAAAATCATGAAGGTGATAACGATGATGATAAAGATGATGATGATGACGATGCTGCTGGAGATGATGATGCTAATGGTGATGATGATGATGACGATGATGATGGTGATGATAATGATGGTGATGATGGTGGTGATGATGATAATGATGGATGGTAACGGTTATGATGATGATGGTGGTGCTGAGGATGATGATGACCATGATGATGATGGGGATGCTGATGATGATGCTGATGATGATTTTGATGTTGTTGATGATGATGATGATGATGGTGATGGTGATGCTGATGCTGGTGATGGTGATGCTGATTCTGGCGGTGATTGTGATGATGATGATGATGATGCTGATGGTGATGATGATGATAATGACAAGGGTGGCCCTGCGTGGTGTCCTGCACCAGGGGGGGGGGCTACTCACTCACGCGAACTCCAAGCTGGACGTGAAAAATAAACAACTTCAGCACGACCACCAGCAGCCTGTTCGAAAGCATCATCACACCACATCACCATCATCATCACTAACACCCAGACCACCACCATCCTCAGCATCATCAGCAGCATCATCATCACCATCATCAGCATCATCATCATCATCATCGTCATCATCATCGTCATCGTCATCGCCATCATCATCATCATCATTATCATCATCATCATCATCATCATCATCATCATCATCATCATCATCACCATCATCATCATCATCATCAACATCGTCATCATCATCATCATCATCGCCAATATCAACATCAACCTCATCATCATCAACAACATCACCACCATTATCATCATCAGCAGCATCATCATCGGAATCGCATTTGCCATAATCATCAGCATTATCAGACTCACCATCGTCATCATCACCATCATGTTCGTCATTCACCATCGTCGTCGTCATCCTCACCACCGTCATGAAAAGATTCCTCATCATCATCATCAGCAGCAGCATCATCATTACCACCAGCATTATCATCATCAGCATCGTCGTCACCATCATCGTCATCACCACCTCAACATCATCATCATCATCATCATCATCATCATCATCATCATCATCATCATCACTGTCACCATCAGCATCAGCATCATCAGCATCATCATCAGTATCATCATAATCGTCATCATCATCATCATCAGCATCATCATCATCATCACCATCAGCATCACCATCACCATCACCATCATCATCATCATCATAATCATCATCGTTACCATCATCGCCATCGCCATCATCACGTCACCATCATCACAACCATAATCGGCATCGTTATCGCTACCGCCATCAGCTGTCACTTCCCCGACCAATCACGACGCAAGGGTGGCGTTCGCAACTGCCGCCTGGACGGGGTGCTCGACCGTGAACGCTTCGCGTGGCCCAGATGAGCCTGTGTGGAACTCCTGCAGCGGAACGGGCGAGGGCACGAGAAGGTTGGAGGGGACGAGGAGGAGGAGGAGGAGGAGCAGCAGCAGGGAGGGAAGAGAACGCCGACGAGGACGGCGAGGAGAAAGCAAGACGGGGGAGTCGGAAGAGGCAGAGAAAGAGGAGGAGCAAGAGGAGGAGGAGGACGACGAGGTCGCAGAGGAAAAATGTTGATGATGATGTTGATGTTGATGTTGATGATGCTGATGCTGATGCTGCTGATGCTGCTGATGATGATGATGATGATGATGATGATGATGATGATGATGATGAGAAGGAGAAGAGAAGGAGGAGGGAGGAGGAAAGAGGGGAAGAGAAGAGAGAAGAGGAGGAGTGGAGAGGAGAGGGAAGGACGCGAAAGAAGGAGGACGAGGAGAAGGAGGGAGGAGAAGTTGTGATACGCACCCTCCTCCCTCTCCTCTCATCTCCTTCCCTCCCTTCCCCTCCCCTTCCTCTTCCCTCTAATCCTGCTCTCCTTCTCCCACCCTCGCCTTGTCTCCCTCCTCGTCGCTCCTCCTCCCCTCCCCTCCCGCCCTCCCCCCCCCTCGGCATCCTGCCGGAGGACGTGTGCCACCACGGCGTGTCTTGAGCGCCCACAGGAAAAAGGTCTTCCCTAAGGTTTGACCTCGCGCGTCACTCCCGGGACGACGAGGGAACGAATGGTAGGGTAGAGAACATAAAATCCACCCCCATCAGAAGCACCCCGACAAGCGAAACCGTTTAGCGAACGCATCCATGGAAGGAACAGGGCTGCTTAGTAAACGACCAAGGCCGTTCACTAAACACCGATTGACGGGGTCGGGGTTCCTCACTTGATAGGAGGCAGACGAAGTCGAGGGGGAAACCACGACCCGCCCAACAAAGCGCAAAAGCGACAGAGCAGGAGGACGGGAAACGAGAGACGAAAAGGGCCCTTCCTAAGATTAGTCGTAGCACGGGGGGAAGGGGCCTTTTCTGGAGGCAGGCGAAGGTAGCTCAAAACCACACGGCCCCGGGGCCCCACCCCCCCGAAGAAACCCCACAAGGCCAAGGGAGCCTAGCCAGCTCACCCACCTGCCGAACCCCAGGTGCCCCAAGGGGGCCCGGGACAAAGGGGGCACTCTCGAGGGCTCCAGATGGGGGATCTTCCGAGGGGGGCCCTTCCACGTAACCCTTTCTGGTGTGCCGAACTCTGAAAAGGGGTGAAGCCTCACTTCAGAACTACTCCCAAGACCTCCCCCCGAGGCCCTAAGAGACCTCTGCTGCCCAAAAGGGGGTCCGGCGGAGGGCGAAGCCCACGAGGCCCCCCACCGCGGACCCGCACGCGGAACCCCCTAGCCCCGCCGGGGGACCAAGGCGAACCGGGGGCAGGGGAGAAATCTTAGAAGGCTCAGGAGGGGGAGAGGAGCTGGTGAGACTGAGGGTTGCAGAGCCCGCGGGGGCTTCGTTGGAGGGAGGCGCCTGGCGGCCCTCCTCTCGGCGCGGAGGCCCCCCCTTTCGAAGCCACCCGCAGCGCAGACGGCCAACGGGTGAAAAACGTCCGACGGAACCTTGCCCAGGCAAGGCCCCGTCAGAAAGCCGAGAAGCCCCCGCGCCAAGTGGAGGGCCACCGGGCCACTCCCTTCGCGGAAACACCGCGGGTTCTGCAGTCCTCGACGCGGCGAAAAGGGAATCTGAATCTGGCACCGGTCTTAGAAGGAGGCTGCGGGCGGCGCGGAGCGCCGCCATCCGACAGGGGCGCGCTAGCCTCCTCCAAGGCCCGCCCCCAGACAAGGATTCCCTCTCACTCGAGAGAAACTTCGCAATTTGCACAGCGACGCCAAGAGACGCGTCAAGAGCGCAGCGCGAGCGTCGAGCGCCCTCGCGCTCGCCGCGGGGACGGCCTGCCACGCCAGCAGCGCGAGGCCATCGCCGATGTGGATCCTCGCTGTCTGGGCATCTGACCAGCGGCCTCTGTGGATCGCCCTCTGCAGCTCGCCGTGCGCGCACATGTCGCGCGCGGCGGCGCCTCTCATCAGGCTGCGCGGCTTGAGCAGCAGGGCGCCCAAGCCGGTGCCCTGGCACGCGCGCTCGAACAGCTGGCGGAACTGCGCCGCAGTGCCCAGCAGCAGCAGCCCTCCCGCGCTGCTGCCTGCGGAAGGCTAGCGCGCGGCCAATAGTCGGGTCGTCCACTGTGACCATCTTTTGGGCGCCGCGACGCGCTCCGCTCTTGGTCCACGGCAGCGCGATGACCCCTCGGCCATCTGGCCAAATGACCGCATGCTCAGCCTTGATGCCGAACATCTCGCCTTTTCGGAGCAGGCAATGGAATGCCACGAGCGCCAGGATAGCTGCGCCCTGGCGGTTGGGCAGCCAGAGGAAGCGGGCGATGCCGCACAACATGTTGGCCGACATCAGCAGCGCCCGCTGGGGCATCTCGATCCTGTTCCAAACCCTAAGCAAATCCCAAGCCACAAGGAAGAAACGTCAGCGTCCAAGGAAAAACTGAACAGCACTAAGCGCATCATCAGCAAGGTTGCGGCCCTCGCCATCGATCCAAGGGTGCTCGATGAAACTGCATCTCTGCTCATCCATATGAGCAGCGCCAGCCCTGGTGCAAGACAAAATCCATGAACATCAGCGCCGCTCTGCGATTGCGAATTTCGTTGGGGGCACTACTCTCTGCAACCGCAACGAGCCCAGGTTTAGCCTCGCCTGGGCCCTGCTCGCTGGGTCTGGGTATTCTCTCAGCCGCCTAACCATGTCTGGCTTTTTTGCGGCTGGGCTCATCCGCAGGATTGCCCCCGCTGCGGCAGATACCGAAGATTGGAGCTGCCCCTGAGGCGAGCTCCAGCGCTGATATCTTGCGAGCGACACGGTCGAGTTGGGGGTTTCCAGAACGATGCTTAGTCAGCACAGCAATACTGACCTGACTGTCAAGTAGATGCACAAACTTGGTCCCCAGGTTCTTCTCTGCCTGGAGCCCCCACCGAAGAGCGGACATGGGAGGGCGAAGTATATCCGGCAAGGCGTTTCGCTGGAACAGAGCAAGAATGCACGCGCCACATCCATGCGGATCTGCACTTTTCAAAGTGCCAGCGCGGGCAAGCTGTCTACGGCAGGGCGAAGTATGACGAAGGTGAAACGCGCTGCAATGCGCGCGGGATCCTACAGATACGTCGGGAAAAACAGCGGGGCACGGCACCCCGCGTGAAGCGGCTCTGAAAGGACGGGCGGGCCATGACTGCGCGGGCCGGAAAACCGCCCTCATAATATCCACCAATTAGGCGCGAAACCTGCCCCGGCGGATTGGCGTATATATGTTTGCCGAATGTTGCAGGGAAAACACACCAGAAAAAGATACACCAATCGAAAACGAATTGAATCAGATCCACCAATCCCACAAAAAAACGCAAGAATCGACAGAGACTTGTGCCTGGGGGAGGGGGGGCAGGACCGCCATCGCCAATGCTGATACTAGTGGGGAAAAGACTTGCGAGAATCGGAGAAGAGCGGGGGGGCGACGACAGCGTCGCAAAGCCACTCTGCACCAACGTCGCGACAGTGGAACACCATGCCACACCGCGCACCTGGGCTGCAACTCGGCGCCCGCCGTAAGCTCCCAAAAATCACAATGGCCAGCCGAATGCATCGCCTGATATATTGCGTGCTCCGGGGACAGGAACGCGCGAATCTCCAGCTCGTTGATGCGCATTCTCCTGCCACAAGAACTGCAAGACAACGGCCCACCTCCACAGGTCTGCAGGCATCGGCAACCTGGGCCGGCATGAGGGGCTGAAGAGCTCGCCCGTCGTGACCCAGACGTCGCTGCCCTTGGTGGACACGGAGCGCAGCACGTCCGCGACGAGCGCCTGCTTGGGCGCGAAGCCGCGCGTGGCGCAAAATGCGCTGTTGGCAGAAGGGGCACCTCGTTGCCGGATGAGCTCCACGGGCGGGGCGCTCTCGAGGTAGCCCCACATCACGGCAAGGTGGCCGAGCAGCCATGCCGCGACCTCCACGTGGCACGAGTTCCCCAGCAAGCTGCGCCTCACCGACTCGGCGTGGATCGGGCCGCCCCTGATCACTCTGGATGGGCGCGGCAACTCGAGCACGGCCGCGCCTGAATCTCATAAGGAGTTCACGCTCTCCAGCGCACGGTGGGCGCCAGCGACCTCCAGCCAGCGCGCAGCGCCGCTCCAAGTATTGGTTAGGCGGCAGCGCATGCCCGTCGGCAGCCCAGCGGCCCAGCGCTGCGTCGTCGCACTGGTCGATGCCAGCTGGCCGCGGCCGCGGGCTCTCCCGCCGATCGCGGCGGACTGCGGCGGGGAGGCGCGCCCCGGGAGCCCCCCCTCCTGGCTAGGAGGCCCCCTTGGAAAGCCAGCGCGAGCAAGGGCCTGGGTCGGCATCAATCTCCACCTGCCGCCTGAAGGGGTGCTCCACGACCGACTGCTCGGCTTCCCCTGACAGATAGCACGAGCACCAGTAGAGCCGAGGGCGCCGAATGTGGCACACCTGGGAGGCGCACAGGCGGCAGGGCTTCGTCCCCAGGAGCTTCGCGACTGCAGCCAAGTCCTCGCGGTCTGTCGAGCCGACGTTCTCAAACAAGAAGTCCCACGACCTTTCGGCGAACACCTTCTTCACCAACTGCATGACGCGCGCGATCTCGCCCACGAGCCCGCCCCGCGGGCCCCCCAGGCCTTCGCGGCCCAGCCTGGACCAGCCTGGACAGGCCCTGGCGGGGGAAGCCACCGCTGAGGAGCAACTTCTTGGCACGTGAGCACCCGTTCCTGATGGTCGCGAGGATGTCCTCGGATATGTTCTCCACATCGCCGAGTTCCTTGACGTCTGAGTGAGGGTTCCGCGCCGCCCTGGGGGCCACTGGATCAATATCGGCTGAGATGCGCCACGCGCGCTCCAGCCCCGGCACGCCCCAAGCTGCCCTCGCGCCTCCGATCCCGTCGAAGAGGCCGATGATGATCACCTCGTCCTCGCCCCCCTGCCAGGGCAGCCTTCCCAAACG